CTGAACTGTAAGACCACTCAAGACTCCAATCCGAGCGCCCTATGCCGACGTCCTCGTCAGTCAGTCCACCAGCCCCTTACGAAGCCCCGCCGCCGCCGCTATCGGCGGCACCGCCCTCGCCGCCCATGGCGAAAAGGCCGAGGCGTTGATCGAGAAGGTTCGTGTAGAGAAGAACCGTCTGCCGGTCTATGAAGGCTTGCCCGAACACTTCGTCCTCATCGAGAAAATGGGAGAGTCAGTCTTCCCTCTCTCGCTTCTCTCTCCATCTAGCTTTCCCACCTCCTGCATCAAAAAATATACAGACTGATCCTCAATCTTCTTCTCCTTTCTTTCGCAAATAACTATACAGTGGAGCGTTCTCGAACGTCTACAAAGCACTCGATAAACGTACCTCGCAGAAGGTGGCCATCAAGTGTGTGAGGAAATTCGAGCTCAATCGAAACCAGGTTAGTGTGCTTTTACCATCTGCTTCTCTCTATCACGTCTCCTATCCACACCTCCTTTTATTCCACACCAGCACACACACACACACACACATGCACCCGGAAATCGCGTGTTTCGCGTCTTACTTCCGCCTCCTCTCGAGATGCTATCAGAGAGAGAGAGAGTAGATGAGAAAGCCATTGCCGTTGATGAATAACTATCATCATCATCAGCAGCAGCAGCATCACTTTTTGATCAAGAAAGCCTCAGGTCTCTCTAGATCACATTGACGACGATTATGATTTATCGTATGAGGACACAAGAAGAATCTTTGCTTTCGTTCATCATCCGTGCATCATACGAGGTCTTGCGTTACTGATCCGTCGATTCTCGTCCTTTGTTCACTTCATCACACTCCCTGTCTCCCCTCCTCCATCCACACTTTCCCCCCCCCCCAAAAAAAAACTTGTCCTGCTCCGCAATAATCAACCAAAAAACATCAATTGATGTCTTTATTTTACTTTTTTGACCTCCCCCTTATATATCATGATATTTCAAATGTTGAATGTACAGGAAGGTAAGCATTTGAATGCGGAGTTGAAGAAGAAACCGCGTGCCATCGAGGTGAGGAACAACGAAATTCCCTTCGGATTCATGTCTTTCCCTTCTCCTGCTTCCCCTGTCTGTTTATCTTCAAAAATACATAAACACTGCGTATTTTTTTTGGGGGGGAGGGGCATTGGGCTTGGTTCTTTCTTCCTTCTGTATTGTTCTGTTGTGGTCTGGTACTTGGTTTGGATATGGAAACTTGAAATAATGAGCTGACAGAACTTTATTTTCCCAACATTCGACATAGCGTGCAAATATCCTCAAAGAAGTATCAATCATGCGGACATTGAATCATCCCAGTATCATCAAGCTCATCAGCTTCACAGGTATGTTGAAAAGTTATCATCTGCTGCTGTGTTTCTAACGTATCTGCTGGTCTAATTTTGTTGCTCTCCCTTTTGATGATTCATCCTTTAGAGTCTAAGGAACACTATTTTCTGATCTTGGAGTTAATGGAAGGTGGTGAACTTTTCCACCAAATAGTCAAGCTGACATATTTCTCAGAGGTCAGTGAGCACCCACAGAGAGAATCGATCAGATGCGGGAAGAGGCTAACGACACCAGGATAAATCTAGGAACTAGCACGGCATGTGATTTTACAAGTAGCGCGAGGGATCCGATACTTGCATGAAGAGAAGGGCGTGGTGCATCGGGACATCAAGCCTGAGAATCTGTTATTCGAGGCGATCCCGATCGTTCGCTCGAAGCAAGCGAAACATCGTCCATACGATGAAGAGAAAGAGGACGAGGGTGAGTTCTTGCCGAACGTGGGTGGCGGCGGGATCGGCCAGGTGAAGATCGCGGACTTCGGCTTGAGCAAAATCGTCTGGGCCGATCAGACTGCCACTCCTTGTGGAACAGTTGGCTACACCGCCCCGGAAATCGTCAAAGATGAACGGTACTCTAAGAGCGTTGATATGTGGGCTATGGGCTGTGTCTGTATACTTTATTATGTGGCTGTCAGTTTTTTTTTTTTTTTTTCATACATCATCCAAAAATATCTTATTGACGGCCTTTTTTTCTGTTGATACAGTCCCCCCATTCTTTGACGAGTCGATTCAAGTATTGACAGAAAAAGTCGCGAGAGGGTATTATACTTTCTTGTCTCCTTGGTGGGACGATATTAGCGACTCGTCCAAGGATTTGATCTCGCATTTGTTGTGTGTTGATCCTGAGAAACGATATACGATCGATGAGTTCTTGGCTCATCCTTGGTGTAAAGTAAGTAATTCCATACGATCAATCGTTTATCTTCGAATTACTGACAAGAAAACTTCTCCCCAAACAAACAAACAAACAAACAAACAAACATGAAATGATGATAGGAAAAGGCACCGTTACCGGAAATGAATACTCAAGAGGTAGCCACCATGGCCCCACACATAATGCGAGCCAAACAAATGAACTACGCGCCGATTGACTCTCCCTTATTGCATGCGACTGGAGGCGGGATGAGGACGCCAGGAGTGGCGCAACTGAGGGAAGCGTTTGATGTGACGTATGCGGTGCACCGGATGGAGGAAGAAGGTGCGCGAAGGGCGCGGTTTGGCGGGGCTGGCAATGCGGGCGTCTTGCATGGCTTGAACGAGGAAGAGGAGGAAGAGGAAGAGGAAGAGGAAGGAGGGCAGGGGCAAAGTAAGAAGAAGGCCTCGGTTGGATCGACCAAGGATGTCCACAAGTATCAGGCCTGGGGCGGCGGTGGCGGGGCGGACCGAGACTTGGCGCAGGCGGCACTCTATTCCGGCCAAGCCGGCACACGCGACCGTGGGAACGCGCATCGCCATCATCATCATCAGGACCCCGCCGCGGCATCCGGAAGTGCGGCTACCCAACGTTCCAAAAAATCCGCCGCTCATTCTTCGACCCATCATCATCGTCAGACCGGCTTCGAACTCAATATCGATCAGGCTACGTTGTTGGGCAGACGCAATAAGCTACCTACGCCGGTCGATTGAAGATCGATCGAAATCAATCGGAATAGGCGCCTTTCCTGTGTACCTTGGTCCGCTCTTCTATACAGGTCGGCCACCCGTATATAGACGCTCTTCTTCTTCGCATCCTCTCTTTTTTTTCGTTTTGCAGTCAGGTTCTTCTTCGATTATCTTATTCTTCAGCTTCAGTAGCTCTGGCTCAATCGACTACCATGGAACATGTCGACCTCTTCTTTCTTTCTCATCTTCTTTCATTTAGATCTCTACTCTTTCTCTCTTTCTCTCGAAGATCAAAAAAAAACACACAGAAAAAACAACAACAAATACAAAAACAACATTCCAGCAGTGTACTCTTTCCTTCGTCGTTCCTTCGACTCCTTTGATTGCATTATATGATATGTAGATCTATGATCGGTTGAGGCCTCTTCTTCAAAATCATCTTTTCTCTCTCTCTTTCAGTTTTCTTTCTTATAATCACAAAAAAATAAATAACAAATCAAGCAACTCCCAAGGCTACATACATCCATTTTTTTTTCATACATATACATACACATCTACATCTACAAATAGAATTGTCTCTTCTTTGTTCATGTTGTTGTTGTTGTTGTACTGATACAATCTCTCTTTCCCTTCCTGTCCCATGTCTTGTGATAAAAGATTTCTCTTTCTATGTTGATCTTGTTTTTTTTTTTTTTGATTCACTTTTTTTTTTCTTTGGGCAAGATGGTTTTGTTTTGGTTCTTAGATGTAGAAGACTGTTCTTTTGATGATGGCAATATATATAGTAATAAGTAACTATGTCACACATATATTTATATATAATTCTTATTTTGTTCCCCCCTTTTTCCTAATGTTTGATGTACTGCTGTTGTGGTTGTAACAGCCTGATTCATTCTTCTTCAACACAAACACACTGCACCTTGTAGCGAGACTTTTTTCAAATGAATAAGTATTGAATGATAACATATTCCAGTAATAAAGATGATTTGATTTATGCAAAACAAAACAAAAAAAAATGGTTTGGCATAGGTTGGGAAGAATAATGGAAGATGTTCTGGCCAGCTCGATTACTTTGTTGATCAGGAGCTCCATGATATGACTTGAGGTGTGTATCTCATTAAAGGTCAAATATGGACACCAGACTCTTGGATGCTTGGTTAAAAAAAAGCCCAGGTCGACCCAGCTTGGAAGCCCCTGATCAACAAGCGCTGACTGGTGTACATCCGGGGGAAGTGGAGCTTATAAAGATCTGTGGAATCATTTTGTTTTATTTTGCTGTGTTGCAGACATCAACTCATACCAGCAACCATGGATCCTGGGTTTCTTACATTTTTTTGCTTGGTTTGAAAGTCAAGAGGAAGACAGACTATCATGTGTTCCTACATATTCCTATGTATTCATAATTTCGAAGGACATCAGTCGGCTTGCAGATGGTCAGACTACATACTACATCTTACACACACACACACACAAGTACCTTCTGTTTCTTTTTTCCTTTGTTGATCACAATTGGCTCAATGGAGAGCCAATTATAAGCAGTTACACAGGTATTCTTTTGGGAAAAGAGAACAGTGAATTGGCTATGCTTCTGGCCAGGACACTCGCACTCCTGTCACAAGGGACATGTACAAAGAAAAAAAAATTGGTTTGGATGATTCTCTAGTTGAGTAAAGATTTGACCGTGAAGATCACATGTCCTAAACTGGTTGTACTTCTGCTTGGCATTTTTATCAAGGCAAGAAAATGAGTTTATGTGTCACTGTCCCTGCAAGCGTCAGAAAATGTTCATCATTTCCCAGCTGTTTTCACAATAAAATATGGCATTTTTTTCACAGATGAAGGATTCAGATGGTGATTACACCAGTAAAATTTTTTCTAACAGATCAATAGGGTGGTAATGAAGGATGACAAACAACTGAAACTGTGTGCTGATTCATGTTTGACCTGACCAAATTCCTAACAGCAGTGTTGACAACCCAGCTGGTTAAGTACCACATAATTCCTGTCCAGTCAACCCAATTGTTCAGAGAACCAAAAAAAAGTGAGAAAGGAAATGAAATAGAAAAGAGACAAACAGCATAAGTGGATATGTTCAAATTCAACACACACACACAAAGTAAACAAGAGCAATAGAAGAGTTTGATCTGACAAAAGGAAGGAGGAAGGTGAAAAAAAGATGTGTCAGGACAAGGTTAGATTGGTTGAGGTCATTTGAGGTCTTTACATTACAAGCCAGGATTACAAGAGTCTTCATTTTTGATAATTATTGTGTTAGATTGATCAATCCTGTATGTAGTACTTGCATGCTTGTACTGAGTTATGCTTATGTAAAGCCTCCCAGCACTCCTGAGCTACCAGACTTCTCTAATTCTTTCCTCATTGAATCAATACATATTAATTCTCATCGTCAAGTCATCATAGTGAGTCTTGACGGCAGGCTTGTTTTCAGTCCCTGGTGTTCCTCAACATATTGTTTGTCAGTTGGATCTTGAGGAAGTCAAACCATATTTATTTCTTGATTGGTTGAGGAAGGATCAAATTTGATTGAGAGACTTTTCTGAAGGGAGGAACATGCTTCTAGCCCTAAGCGGTTGTTCAGCTTGTTCCACAGTCTCATCAAGTGTGCGGAGAAGGACAAAAGCTCAACATGTCTGATGCTGAGATTTTTCACAGTTTGAAAAGCATACAGTTAGCTATAAACTAAAAAAAATATTACTGCCGGGGGCACATGTTAATCTGCATTCTTTTTTCCCCTTTCATAGTTCCCTTTCCAGTTTAGGATGTGGAAGGATTGTCCAAGAATTCTTGGGGGCGCTTGAAGTATCTTGGGTGCATCTGTGGATGGTTTTCAGTGCATCTACTTGTACCAAAGAACCCGTAGTGATTACAGCTATTGCAAATGTATACATCAACAGATATTTTTCTACTACAGGGAAGTCTGCTCAAAGTGGAACAAGAAGCTGCATTCAAAGACTTGTGATATCTGAGGGTGGGGTTACGGTGGCCCTGTGGGTAGCCTTCTAACCCCCTACACATTTCACATACTTTGGAGGATAGGTAATCTACTGTTTGCCTCTCAGAAGTGAGCACCACACACATGAGTTGGCTATACACCAGCCCCAAATGAGCAATAGTAGCTAGATGTTTCATGATTGGAAATGTGTGTGGAGTGTGTAAATATTTTTGCTGTGGATGGGACTTGATCCCTCTACCTAATAGTTTCCAAGGATGAAACACAGGGGCTCTTGCAGTGGGAAATCTTGACCACTATGCCAGCAATGTGTGGCTTAAATTGATCATTTGTGTAGTTATAAAGGAAAATCCTGATTTTCAGGGTTTCAAAAAGAAATAAGTACATTTTATGAGAAAGAAAATTGTATCTTGGTTGATGGAAATTTTCTAATTAATAAGTTGGATGTCAGTGTGGCATCACTTAAAGATGCTCACAATTTAATAGTAAAAATATTCATTTTGGTCATCAGTTGTACATGAAAGCAACCAACAGGCCCCAAGCAAGTGGATGAAAACACTCCAAAATTTGGTACATAAACCAATGCTTGATATTACTACTGGCCGTTGAAATTTTATCCTGTGACTGTCAAGCATGCCATGGGTCAACACAAATGGTTTGGAGGCCAAGTGAAAGGGGTATGATATCCACCCAGTTCCATGATACATTCAAAAATTGATGGTCAACCAAGTGGCAATTTGTTCCTGCCCGAGCCCACCTGGAATCCAAATTCTGCATCCTCCTTCAAATAATTTCTTTCAAAAGATGATAACTGACAGATGATCAAGCATCCTTAGCCTGGTGGACTCATACAACATGTTCAATTGATCCTGTAACCAACCTTTGGACACAAGAGAAGAAAAATTCAAGGTACACAAGCTTCTCTTGGATCCTATATACCTTATCCATCTACAAATTGTATTACCTTTATCATATTTTCTTTTCTCTATCCTCAATCAACACACCCTCACCGTTCTCTCCATTTTCACTCTTATTATATCTATCCTTGATCATCACCTTCTCAGTTTTTTTTTTCCTTCACCACATTTTTCTGAGGTCAAAATTAGTGAGGTTGCATTTCTTTACATTGATCAATAATTTTTGTGTTCAGTCAACCTACTTGTTCTAATTAACAAAGGCTCTCTGGTGATACCCTGAGAGATAATACAAATCTTCAGATCTGACTGATCCAAAGAAAATGACTGCATTGACAAAATGAGCAACCTTGGCACTTGATTTCGTTCATAATCATCCACCTCTCAGATGCTGAGATTTTTTTTCATAGTTTTGAAAAGCATACAGTTAGCCATCAAACTAAAAAATTATTACTTCTGGGGACACATGTTAGTCTTCATGCTTTTTTCCCTTTCATAGTTCCCTCACAGTTTAGGATGTGGAAGGATGGTCCAAGAATGCTTGAGGACGCTTGAAGTATCTTGGGTGCATCTGTGGATGGTTTTCAGTGCATTTAGTTGTACCATAGATCCCGTAGTGATTACACTTATTGCAAATGTATGCATCAATGGATATTGGTCTACTACAGGGCATTCTGTACAAAGTGGAACAAGAAACCTCATTGAAAGACTTGTAGAATCTTAGGGTGGTTTCACGAGGGCCCTGTGGGTAGCCTTCTAGCCCAATGCACATGTCACATACTTTGGAGGATAGGTAATCTACTGTTTGAATCTCAGAAGTGAGCACCACACTAATGAGTTGGCTATACACCAGCCCCAAATGAGCAATAGTAGCTAGATTCTTCATGATTGGAACTGTGTGTGAGACTTGATCCCTCTACCAGATAGTTTCCAAGGATGAAACACAGGGGCTCTTGCAGTGGGAAATCTTGACCACTATGCCAGCAATGTGTGGTTTGAAGTGATTGTTTGTGTAGTTATAAAGGAAAATCCTGAGTTCCAGGGTTCCAAAAAGAAAAAGGTACATCTTCTGAGCAAGAAAATTGGATCATGGTTGATGGGAATTTTCTAATCAATAAGGTGGATGCCAGTGTGCCATCACTTGAAGATGGTAAAGATTTAGTAATAAAAATTGTTGAATTTTCACTGAAATGTCCCTCTCAGATCACCTGTGCTGCAGCACTTGATCCGCAGCAAGGTAATGTGAATTGAAGTTTCAATCACTTAGGTTTGAGGATTCTTGAGTTAAAAAGTCATTGGCACCGCTCTCTGCAAACCTCAGACTTGACAAGATACTCAACCTCTCAGCTTACTCAAGATCCTTTCCGCTTTTCTGGTTAACTCACTCAATCAAGACCTTACCATGTAGAGTTCTAATTGCTTGCTGCACTTTGTCTCAACCATGCTCACTTGATCTCTTCCCTTGCTTGCTTCAAGATTGATCCTCAATACATTCAGGAACTCTACATATAGGCACTATCAAAAAAAATCTTCACTATTGCTTCAATGTTCTGTTTGTTATCCTTTTGTTATTCATATGTTCTTGTTTCACCTTCTTATTTTTAATCTGACTATATTTAATGGGTCTTAGCTAATCGACTCCCAAAAAGTGGAGGATCGACTCCCAAACGTCCAGGACGTCTTGAGGACCATCTGCAGACAGTCCTAGGACTTCCAAATACCCTTTTTTTCTTCCCTCCAAAGGTTTGGGAGTTGATCCTTCAAAACCGTTGGTTTTTTTGGGAGTCGACTATACAATAAAAATAATAATAATAATAATAAAAAAATTGGGGGTTTGGGAGTCGGAGACCCAACATCTTTGTCTGATTCGCTTGAACTGAAGGCTTCAGGATTAAATGTGTGCAACATGATTGCTTGTCAAGGAGTGATCAGAGGTGTAAATGTTGAAGAGGCCTGGTCAGGACTATGACTCACCACACCTTCAGTTTGAGAAGCAGAACCAAGTGGGTTATCAGACCTGACACCAAGACTCAGTTTTTGTGGTAAGGTTGTATGAATTCTTTCTAAATCCTGAAAACCTCCCAAGAGCTGTTTTGAGTCCAACAAGCCAAGACACCAATCAACTGATGTTCGCGACTTCTCATTTGCTTGAATGCGCCAATCCCAACTCAGGAAGGGAGCAGCAGGGTGGTTGTTACTTTGCATGAGTTTCTGGATTGCGTTGCCAGTTTCCCAGGATTGTGTTTGCATTATGACCTGAGTACTCATCCAATTGGTTCATGACCACCAGGTGCCACAGCAAGTTTTGGATGACATTGATAGGGATTGATGATTGGGTATTGGCCTAGGCTATCCTCTCTTAGTGTGACTCTTTGACCTCACTCTGATACCAATTGCAATCTCGGCACGCCTCATTCAACGGCTGTGTAAGGTCTGGATATGAAACTAGAAGGAAATTCTAGTACTATTCCTGTCCTAATAATTTTTTGTTAGTAATTTTTTATTAAATTTTAAAGTTTAAAGTGTATTTAAACTTACAAAAAAAAGGGATTGTTGGTTAAACAATCAAAGAAATTATAACCTCACAATATTACTTGTTAAGAGGCCTAGAGTTGAGTTTTAATCAATACTCTGAATTCCAAAGGAGGAATTGAGGAAGGGTGAATTGTTTGTTAGACAATAGATCACAAGGAGTTCGTCCAAAAAGGTCTTTTGGATGAGTTGAGGATTCCTGGGCAAATTTTAGAGCAATACTTCTGCAACAGAAAGTAATAAAATGGCCAATTTTGAAGGAATAAGGAGCTGGGATCTTTTAAGGGCAAAGGCTACAGGTTAAGGCTGAAGGTAGCAGTAAAAGAGGAGCTCTGTTTCGTGGTTGGAATGCTAAGGTTGATAAGAGAAATGGTTGGAAATGCTGGCTTCAAGTATATAGTAGTATATATGGTGAAGTGGGTGAATTTCTGAGGTTTAAGCACTCAATAAAGGAGTCCTTATATAGCCACACACCTGAGGGTGGCTTGCAGTGCATTTTTGCAAGATGACACTGATGCTTTGGGCTTGTTTGGCTGGGTGTAAGCCATGCCCAAGGCCTTGGTTATCAGTATCCCAAAGGCTGAAACAGTTGTAACTGTAACCACGGGTACAGCTACCCAGTCAGGAAGTAATGATGCAATGCCAAGTTATTGCTAGGGTTCTATATGCCCAAAGGAGACTTTTTGTTTCGTCTCCAATCCATTTTGGAGGGATTTGGTTGAGGTGTTCTGATATGTACTGGCTCAGAACAGGTTGAACTACTTGGGCCAGATTGAAATGGGCCAATTCTCAACCCTGTTGATTTCAAACTGGACCAGGGTTGTTCTGGTGGATGGCTGATGTAAGAGGATATTCTGAGTTCGCTCAGAAAGGTTATTAAGGTTAGGGATAAACAAAACAGGTTACATGACCAAGTGGCTGGTCAGGGTTCAGAATATGTGGTCTAAACTGGTCACTTGGTTATAGTTGATGAGCTACAAGGTTGTACATGTTGCACAAGCCTTGGAACCTTGTTTATCTTGAGTTCGCATCCAATGAACTTTGTTTATGTCATCAGCTGATTTGGTTCTGTAACTTTAAATGTCTGTAACTCTTTAGTTATTGATTATTTTACAGAATTCTTTGTTTTTTGAGTATGTAGTTACACAGTGGTATGTAACTACATGAATTTTGTTTTTATTTTCTAAGTAAAGTAAAAAAGTTTATTTTTATTTTTAAAGGCCTTTGTGGTCATTTGCAGGCTTTTGACCATATATACTTTTATATATAGATTTTTATGCTTAATATTAATTTATTATTTATAATATTTTTTCTTGGGCTAGTCTTGAGACTTGACTATGAGTTGTAATTGTTATTTTTATTATTTTATATTTTGAGGCCTATGGGTATGTATATACCTCAAGGCTGACAGGCTGACAGGAGTTCCTTGTCACCCCCAGCTCAACTGTGAGCTGAGATTGAAGACCTGAGACAGTTTTTCTATTGGCTGAGCTCAGACCTAGCATGTACAAAGCCATGCCCTTGGGTTGTTGAGTACCACTTGATTCTGAGAGCTGATAAATCATGCAAAGCCATCACCAAGTTGACTGTATTCTTTGATGAATTTATCATCAACAAGTTCTTCCTTGGTTTCAAGTTGCTTCACAATTCCATTATGACCTACTCAAGCAAAACCTAAGAGCGCTTTGCAAAATTGTTCAATGTTGTCTTCCACGTCTCCTGTCAAGGAATATTGGGACTCCCAAACAACTGTGCAGGGGTCAAATTTGGGTCTCCAACTCCCAAACAGCCGCAGGTTTTTGGAGGTTTGACTCCCAAACCCCCAATTTTTTATTATTATTTTTATTGTATAGTCAACTCCCAAAAAAACCAACGGTTTTGGAGGATCGACTCCCAAACCTTTGGGGGAAAAAAAATTGGGGATTTGGACATCCCAGGACTGTCCGCAGACGGTCCTCAGGACGTCCTGGACGTTTGGGAGTCAATCCTCCACTTTTTGGGAGTCAATTAGCTAAGACCCTATTTAATACTCCTCCTTTTTGCTTCTGCTCAAAGTCCTCATTATTTTATTTACTATTTCCATATCCTTAGTGGTATGCTTTTCTCTTGGCTCTTCTTATCTTTATATTCTTGTTCTCTAATCTTGTTCTTGATTTCAGTCTGTTTCTGGTTTTTAGTCATCAATTCAATACTTTTTCAAAAATAATCATTCTAGACATCAGTTGTACATGAAAGCAACTAACAGCCAAAATTTGGTAAATAAACCAGTGAACATTCACGGTCAAGCAAGTGGCAATATTTTCTTGCCATAGTCCAGCTGGAATGCAAATTCTGTATCCTTCTTCAAATAATTTCTTTCAGACAAAGATGACTGATAGATGATCCAACATCCTTAGCCTGGTGGACCCAGCCAACATGGTCAATGGATCTTGTCAGACACTGAGACGCTAGCCCAGGTGTCTACAATAGAATGTAACCCCTTTGGGTTACATAACAATTATTATTATATGTAATTTTTAAGTTAATAATTATAAAGTAGTGTTATCCTCTTTTATATGTATCACTTATGTTAATAAATATTTAGTAAATTAATAAAGATTTACCTCTTTATTAATTTACATATTTCCTGAAAGTTATACTCAAGCTGAAAAGGACAGTTATATTTTATGATTATCACAGAGATTATTATCCTGTGTATCTCTGTTGAAAATACTTATAGTCCAGTTTATCTCTCTTAGGTGTATCTTCTGAAATAAGAGAGATTTTCCTCACATGTACTTTAATCTTCTTAGAATATCTTGACATTTCTCCCCAAAGAAATAAAATAACCTTATGGGGACTGTACCGGTCCTACAAGCAGACTGACCTCTGCTCTGTAATACTTAAGGAGGAAGGCTTTCCCTCTAGGATTCCTTCCCCCAGAGATTACCATACAAACCCGCTATCCTTACCTATTTACAAACAGTACAATAAGTGAGTGGGGTTTATTAATCTAGTATACATTAGATTACATAATACTCTAGTCCCTCTATTTTTGTACTAGTCAGTTATGGTAACCTTTGTAACTAGACTAGCAATCACCTTCCTCTTCTCATAAGCCTGGCACAGCGTAATTAATCCGCTGTCGTCCCTTATAATTGTAAGGAGCACCTCTTCTAGTACTCTAATATACTGAAGTAGCTAATTCCACTACGTTGGTTATCCAACTAGAGTGTGACCCATTTCCACTACGTTGTGTAAACAACCATAGTGTGACCTCATTACCTCATCAACTCCTGGTCACCTAAGAGACCGGAGCTGACAGATCTTGTAACCAACATTTTACATATGGACAGAAGAGAAATAAAATCCAAGGTTTACTGGAAAATTTCACATGCCTCAAGTTTTTCTGTTGGCAAAAATTGATTGAAATTCAAGTTTGTATAGGAAAAAAAATCATGCATGTGAACCTTACACACCAATTTTAATTTTTAGCCAAACTTTGAACACCTTATTTACATAAAAATTCAAACCAAATAAAATTTATGTGATGAGCAACCCTTAACAACATCTTGCTAAAATCTTGGTGGAGTCCCACACCCAATTTAAGCAAAAAAATTAGTGACAAAAAATGTGACTTTTTACACTTGTCATAAAAACACACTATGTGAACTGGGCTAATGAATATTTTCATTGTCTAACTCATGAAAAAAATCAAGATTAATCAAAAACCCCGGAGGATATCTGAAAATTATTCAACATCAAAAACACTCTCAAATTTCCTTCCTTACAAGAGAACTTTTATTTTGCGGTTAAACTTTTTTTAAACTTTTGGTTACTTGATGATGATGATAAATTAGACAATCTCAAATAACTTCATTTTTTGTATGAGTATGCTCAGTTTAGCTCTGTTGCTACTAATAACTGTCAGAGACCTCAGCTAGGTTGAGGGGAATGCCAGTCAATCTGGAATGTACCAAACCTAGTTAAAGTGGGTTGAGCTGAGCTGATCAAATACAAATCCAAGGGGTGCCTTTTAATTGCATTTCATAGGTTCAGCTCAATAGATGTTAAATATCTTGAGTGAATAAGCTTGAAAAATACATGTGAATTTCCTACTTGCTCCTTGTCCTGCCAAGAATTTTTCAAATTATGTAGGGCCTGGCTGCCCAAATGGTCTTTTGTGTAAAGCCATCCTCAATTAAATTTTTGAAGATGGATTGATTACTTAATTTTTGCACTGGCTTTTCTTCTATCCTGTTGTGATATTAAATTATTAATCATATTGCATGTTTTAAAAGATTCTGGATATCTTTCCCACAATTCTCTAAATCTTTTTCTTGTTTCTGTCCAATACAAGTACTTACTATTTATCACACCTTTGGAATTTTAATTTTAATTTCTTGATTTTTGTCATTTCAATTATAGAAGAAATCAATGATCCAGGTTAGTCTTATAGTGAAAATTGTGAAACAGGCTTAATAGGTGTCAAGGGAGTGGTCGCACAATGATTGTTGAAATTTATGACCTGCAAAAAACCTGAACATGTAGGTTCCAGGAGAACAAGATGGTCAGAGCTGCTGTCACCCACTGGAATTATGGCAGTACAGCCATCTTTGACTCTAGACTTGAGAAGGAACCAGTGAAGCAGTTCCTGTTGCCATTTACAGGGATGTAAATGCCGCTTTAAATTCTAAATCAACACACCTATCACAAATGTGACCAGTGCACCTATAAGCCATCATTCCTGTGATCAAGAAAACGGTAACACTTTTTCTAAAAAAAGATTTACAGACTGAGTGTAAATTAAGAATTAGGATACCTGTAAATTCAAAAGGGAATCCTCCAGTGTGACAGATAGATAACAGAACTGGATAAGGTTTATACATGATTCTTTTTAAATTAATATATGTGCTTGATTAAGATTATTAAGACATGTATAGGACAAATTAGTCTGAAAAATCGGAGAGACAATGAAACTACGGGATATTTAAATAATAATCTGTTAGTGAGTCGGAACAATTTAAAGCTGATTGGTAGTTGGTTAAACCATATCAGTGAATGAGTGGGATTTTGAAATTTTACGGATTAGACACTTGGATTGGAAGAGTCCATAAAGTTGGAGGTATAGGGTAGTTTAAGAAGGTGTTCTGAGTTTATCCTGATCACCCAACCTTGATCTTGTATTCATCATCGTATTTTTCTCTGATGATCAGCGCCGCATAGAGAATGGCTGAGAGAGAACAAGTGATGCCGATGAGGATCGAAACTGAAATTGGTGTACCCCTCCCAAGGAATTCCCACTCTTTAATCCCGAGAACAATTGTGACCCATGCAATCATTACGAGTATGCAGCCGCCCGCTTTATGAATTCGGTTCGCTATTGCTAAAATTTTGAAACGGATTAGATCAATTTCAAAGCAACAGAGTTGTCAGTCAAACTGCCTGGCCCCAAACCAACTTCGTCTTTTCATGTAAGAACGATCCTTGGAGGATCTGTCCCTTCCTGTGGACATTGTCCATTTTAAATATTGGCTCTGATTTTTTCTTCGTCTCAACAGGATGCTCAAATCTCCAAAGTAGGAAGATAAAGTGGACGCGAGGGAAAATTGTGACCACAAGAGAGTGCAGGGGAACTACTCACATCTTCTTGGTTGAAGATCATCTTGATCAGACCGAGGTTTGTTGGCTAATCGATGGATGAAGTAGCCTCCAGAAGCTTGGGCTAGCATGCAAATAAACACGAAGAATCCCAAGAGCTTTTGGAACGTGTCCCGATGAGAGCCAGAGCCAACTGCAAAGACCGCGCACAGGATTCCGATGATGTTGAAGATTACGTTGATGAGTTGGAGGATCATGTGAACTTGAATCCATTTTTCAGAGCCTTTCTGGCGCAAGAAACGTGCCAAAACTATTGCCAAAGGTGAAATCATTCCCCAAGAGATGGAGAGGAAGGTTGCTAAAAAGGAAGTTAAATGAGGTCAGTCAACCTCTCGCGTGTGCATAAAACCGCCATAACTGACCGTGAAGAGTGATCAAGGTGTCATGTCTTTTTGAATGTTTAAGCTCCTTCGAGCCGCTTGCACTACTTCTAACTAGGCCATCGACCATGTCTGGAGACACGAAATTCAGGATAGCAGTTCCATATCCTTTATCATGAAATTCCAAGCCCAACGTGCCGTCATCTATCTTGGGAGGGACAGATGACATTGCCCAAACTAGCCTTTGATCGGTGGCTCTTTGAAAGGTGTCCACGTTAGAGAGTGCCAAGGGCCTGGTGTATTTCACGCTTGGGAGAGTATGATTGCTTTGATTAGCTTCCGAGCCTTCAACTCGAACTGAATCTATCTGCGAACTGAGTATTGGGGTTGGAAGCGCGTGTCCAGAAGCTTTACAATACGCTTTCATCCATTGAATTTTTCCGTAGTCTTGATGAAGGGGCCACATGATCTATTGTAGGAAGGAGGCACGGAAGATCTTTTCAATAATCCTTGAAAAATTGGCGAATGGCTCTCGATTCGCCTTTCATGAAAGGTAGCACTTACCATCATTCTTGAATTACTCATCGTGGTGCCATGACCTATTGAAAACCATCCTACCTCACTAAGTGGAAGCCCGAATCTGACATTGAAAACCGCGTGAGTCGAGTTGAAGAAGATAGTCGCATTGAAGAGAGTAGTGGTCAAGGTCGAGAGAGCTTCCTTCATAATTTGGATTGCAGTGAGTGAAGAGGTTTGATTTCCAAGTACCACACCAAAACAACAACCAGTTCGTAATAACTTATTTAATAACCTGTCTCTTTATACAAAAAAACAGAGGATGAACGTCACTCTGAAAAACAATTATGCAGATTTAACGATGAAATCTTGATGGTCAGGCTGATAGACAAAACATCTAAATTTAAGAGGGGGAGCACAGTCACAAAAAAACAATGGGGAATAGGAAGGGGCTAGAGAGACTCGCCGAAATACATAGACGCGCTTAGAAAATCAAAGCTGATTTATAGACTCCTTACAGACAAGACTTTCATCAAATATTCTGGGTCGCGGAATGGAGCTCAGACGACGCAGAATCGATTTTCTGGGTCATGCGAGCGTTCGATGTGTTGGTCCTTCCGCCTGTTTAAGGGGTCTGTCTGTATCATTTCATATGATTGTGGCACCATTCAGAGGCGTAAGATGGTCCCGAGTGCCGAGCAGCCGGCGGTCCTTCGATGTATTTACATGACTGCATCAATAATGCATGCTACCGCCTCATGAGGAGTTCCAAGTCGATTACTGATTACCAACTGATTCACAATCATAATCCATTCACGCTGGGAACGCGCCGAGGCCCGCTGCCCGCTGTGGCCTGATTCTATAAATCCTTCACAAATCTCCTGCACGCTTGACTTAATTATGGTACATATTTGGATTTCTATATAATGCCGAGTGGTTTGACATATTTATCTTTGCCGGCACCGTTGCCACTTTTCTTTTCCTGGACCAAACATGCAACAAGCCAAACTGAGCTGCTGATGTCATCAACCGAGCCCATTTATTATTTCTTTCTAAGACAATCCATGTCAAACATTACTATCATAGTCGTACTGTACAGCGATAACCTACGGAAGCCGGGACAGCCATCAAGCGCTATCGAGCCACTGCTTTTCATTCTTGAAAACGCGTGGTGCAAAATACAGAGGTACCGATTTGTAGATACGCAATGAAGTCCATCATTTCGGAGGGGGGGGGGAATCCACCCACAGCCGGTCAACGTTGCAGCTTTTTTGAAGTCCCATTATGGCTCACTTCATTGGGCCCTCTTAATCAACAATGCTGGAGAAAAAATCCCGCCCTACGATGGAGGGGGGGGGGGGGGGGGGCATCTGCTTTCACTTGTCAAAGAGCCAAGAGGGGACAGGAAAAGGTAGGTCGGTCGTTGTGTCCTCTCGGACCGATGGAGTAATCCGGGAGAGTAAAGGAGAAGCATGGCTTGCCCCAACTCTTGAACCAGGGTCCAGGAGTAGTGGCCCGCGAGGGTTGTGGGAAGATAAACTCCTCCCTCCTGCACCGCCTGCTCTTGATTGCCCCTCTTGGGCCACTACATGGGGGTCAGTGAGAGAGGGGAGAGAATAGGTTTCGCTCCCCTGTTTGCTGCTTTTTTCCACCGATATATCCGTACTGGTTCAAGAGTAAAACTGGGAAACTGGTGGGGGCGACTCAGTTTTGCTTTGTCCCTTCCCTCCAACTTCAAGCCAAAAAGGGTGTGGGGCAAGGAGGGTAGTTTTGCTCGTCCTCTGCTCTGAAGCTTGATACCATCGATCCGAAATTACACAGATCATGGGAAGAATATACTACTTCTACCCTCTCAGACGCGCATGTGGGGGAGTGTCCACCTTCCGGACTTGATAGTTTTTTCCCCTCCTGTGTCCATCCGGACCGAGGCATGAGTATTGGACCCAAGATAGCCCAAAGAAAATGCACATAGACACAATGTGAGTGTCCGCAAGATAAGACTCAACCGGTGTACCAGCGGCGGTGGTATGCGAATTCATGAACAAAAAAAACTTGCTTTTCGAAGATGAAAAACAGTTGTAGGTCAATGGTCCCATGGATTTTGTATGGGTCATGAGAATAACTAATTACAAATTAAAAGGCTGTTAGAGGGCTGTTAAATTTTCATTTCAAGATGGAAATCCTCGTGGTCTCAGCTGTACAAGTTCTTTCGGAGGAACCAATGAATCTCCAGTTAATATATTCTGACCGAACCTTTATCTTGTCATGAAAATTTTTAAAATTAACTAAGCCTGGGCCAACTAAGCTTGAATATGAGTTTTCGGACCACACCGAGGGTTGACAAGGCTCTGCATTGAAATCAAGTATCGGGCGATGCAGACTCGATTCCCAGCCTCAAAAGACACAGGGGATGTTTTCATTTCTTCTTAGCTTGTTGATTTGTCCTGCTATTGGATGTTAACCGCTTGATCAGGAATAGTGTCGCTTGGGGTGATCTTTACAAAGATTTTTTGGTCATGAATTTTTGAATAGGTGAGATAAAGAAGAAAACAAGTGAAATGAACAGCAGCACATTTTAGATTTTAGACATTACTAAAGGTATTGGAGGACTTCCCATTGGATCTGGGACCCTCATGATTCTCGCAGAGAAATTTGAACTTTGAGGCTCTAAACCGGCTCTGGGAGACCTAGAGATGTTGACAGGAAGTCCTCCATTGGGGGGTGAAAATGCTCATGTTGGAGCTGGGACACACCATCTGAATAAGTTTCCCACCTGCTCCTCCAGATGAATCTTAATTGCACCAATTATCTTTCTTTTCTTTCTTTGATTGCTCACTGGTGCCGCACTTTTCTTCCCCAAGGCAACCTGAACCAAAAAGAGAAATATACCCAGGAAAACTACCTTTGAAGTATGTATGATACTTTCAATTTGTCACACCTGCATTGCAAATTGTCACTGCATTAGTCTTATGCCTTCTGGCTCAGTTTTACTGGTGCTGTTGGAATTTTGACTTTTTCCTTCTCATTCCTAAAAAACCATCTAACTCACCTTTCAATTAGCAATGTCCATATAAAATAGGGTCTTAGTTAAACAGCTCCCAGAGATTGGAGTTCCAACTCCCAAATTTCTGGGACGTTGAGAGGACTGTCTGTGGAAGCTCCTCAGGATGTCCATGGGAGTTGGACCTCCAAAACCTTCAAAGGGTTTGTAAGTTGTTTCCCCTTAAAAAATAAAAAATTAATGAAAAAACCCCAGGGTTTTTGGGAGTCAATCCGCCACAAACCCCAGGGGGGTTGGGAGTCAGCACCGAGAGGATGCCCTCAACGGCCAAGAGGGATTCCTCTTGGCCGCTGAGAGTGTACAACTCTTGCCAGCCAAGAGGGATTCCTCTTGGTCACAGGAAGCTGTACTCTCTCAGCAGCCAACAAATCCCTCTTGGTCGGTGGGAGTTTTACACTCTCTGTGACCAAGAGGAATTCCTCTCGGCTGCTGAGAGTGTACTCTTGGTTGCTGAGAGTTTACTGCTCTATGCAACCAGATTCCTCTTGGTTTCTGAGAGCTGTACACTCTCAGCGGTGTAAGACTCAAAAGTGGTTGTGAAACCCTTTTGCTGAATGGAGAAGGGGATGGTGGAGTTGCAAGCTCTGCCCTTCTATGCTATCAGAACAACAAGACCACCAAGCTCAGCTTGGCAGTTTATATATTGTGATAGAGGATAGTTCGAGATGAAGCTGTTGAATGATTTGTATAACGGTTAAAGTTGATGGTGATTGTTGGTGATGATGTTGATGTCAATGAGGTTATTGTTGGGAGAAGTGGTGATGGTAATGTTGTTGAGAGTGAGGCTTGAACGTGCAACCTTGGGGTTGATGGTATATAAAGTTAAAAAGAGGTGATTTGAAGACCAAGGCGCAGGTGCTGGGAACACTATGCTTCAACCAGGAATGGAACGGGGAACTGGGCACTTGGTGTGATGATGATATGAAAGTGTTATAAGTATATTGCAATAAAAAATAAGGGTGGTTATATGACTGTGACTGGTAATATAATGGGTGGTAAGTGTAAAGGTGGGTTGAGATGATCTGGTCCACTGGTGGGATGATGAAAGGGACAACTGGCAGGCAGAGGCCTCCTTATATAGACAAAAGTGAGGGATTTTAGCTCCAGGGTACATGCATCTGAGGGATTTTAGCTGGACTGAAAATACAATGAGGGAATTTAGCTAGTCTAATGCATGCAGGTGAGCGAATTTGGCTGGTAAGAGCACTGCCTTGAGGGATTGGGGGTTGGAAAAATGACTCCCAAAAATTTGACGACGACTCCCATTTTGGTCAAGGGGTCGTCGGGCGGGAGTTGTCTTTCCAATTCCCCCTGGGGGATTGCGAGTCGGCCTCCCAATTCACTTTTATTTATTTTTTTGGGTGGGAGTCGGCACCCAA